CAGTACATCCCTCGCACGCGATGGGGATTGCGATCGAAGCATAACGCGGGGTTAAGATCCACCGGGAGGCGAGTAGGGGCGCAAACGGTAGGCGCGCCGAGTCTGGTGTTATGATTAGGCGCTTGATTTTAGACCCCGTTTAGAAGAAATAGGGCTCAGGGAAGGCGGCGCAGAGACTGTCCCGGCGGCTATTCACTATGGTCTTCGTCAGTCTCGGCGTCAGTATCAGGTAGAAGGACAAGCTTAACGATGGGTCGCGTAAGCTCGATCGCGGCTGTCCGGACGTCGACTACGCGGATTTGATCGTCTTCTCCGGGGTGGACTCGGACGATCCGCGCCAGTGGCCATCGCGTTGGCGGAGTGTTCTCGTGTCTCACTAGGCACAGGCGGCCGACCTTGAACGACGACTCTTCTCGGCACCACTTTGGGCGATGTGCGAGAGAATGGAGATATTCTCGCGACCAGCGATCCCAGAAGTGGTCCCACACCCGCTGCAGCATTTGCCAACGGGACAGTCGGGTCGCTGGTAGCTCCATCATGGAAGGCTCCGGAACGGCGGTCAGCATGGATCCCACTAGGAAATGCCCTGGGGTGAGCGCAGCCAGGTCCTCCGGGTCGTCCGACAGAGCCTGGAGTGGACGCAAATTGAGGCAGGCCTCGACCTGAGAGAGAAGTGTGCTCATCTCCTCAAAGGTTAGAGTCGCGCCCCTCAGCACGCGCCGCAGACGGTGTTTGAGTGACTTGACAGCGGCCTCCCAGAGACCACCAAAATGTGGAGCAGACGGCGGGTTGAACCGCCACTGTATCCGATCGTTGGCGACCCGCTCGCCGATCCGACGCAGCTCGGAATTGCTGGCCGCGAAGAAAGCTCGCAATTGTGCATCGGCGCCTACGAAGTTGGTCCCGCAATCGCTATCGATGATGCAACACAACCCCCGGCGTGAAGTGAACCGCCTTAATGCGGCCAGGAAGGCGTCGGCGGTGTAGTCAGAGACGACCTCCAGGTGCACTGCTCTGGTGGACAAGCTCACGAACACCGCGATATAGGCCTTGTATGCCTTATGTCCCCGACCTTTGGTCGTGCGCAGCTGGATCGGTCCGGCGTAATCCACGCCGGTATTGAGGAAGGGTCGTGCCGGAGTCACCCTCGCGCGAGGAAGGCTGCCCATCAGCTGTTGCGGGGTCGCCGCCCGCCATCGGACGCACGGTACGCAGCGGTGGATCAGCTCCTTAACGACTGCTCGCCCTCGAGGGATCCAGTAGTTCTGGCGAATCATCCCCAAGGTCATTTGAGTTCCGCCATGCAGAGCTCGTCGGTGGCCTCCACGATCAGCCGAGTGCGATCTTCCGGGGAGTATCGCTGAATGCTTCTCGTCGAAGGAGAGAATGGCGTGCTTCAATCGACCGCCCACGCGGAGGATGCCCTTGGGATCTAAAAATGGACTAAGGCGAGCGAGTGAGTTAGAATTCGGCAGGGCTTTGCCCTGCTTAATTGACTCTAATACGGGTTTATAGCTCGCAGCTTGCACGGCGCGGACCCAGCACAGGCGTGCGTCGTCCATCTCGGCGGCGGACAGAGTCCCGCAGCGCGGTGAGCGGGTCGACTGTGGCGACCTCAACCTCTCTGTATCGTTTGACACTCGAGAAAGCCATCTGCGACACCATGCCGTCACGCGCAGCAATCGCTCGAGAGACGAGAACCTAGTCAATTCGTCTGGTTCCTTGGTTTCATGAGGCGCGGTTCCTGCCGCGTGGACTCTGACCCGCCGCTCGGGCAGATCCTCGTCCGTGGCCGCGATGTCCGCGACCGGCCAGGAAGACGGCTCCGCCAGGAGCCAAGGAGGGCCCTTCCACCAAAGCGGGTGCGTCACGAGTTCCCCGGGAGAGAGGCCTCGGGAGGCGCAGTCCGCCGGGTTGTCCTGTCCGGGGACGTGGTGCCACAAGGCTTCGAGGACGGCGCACAGTGGGGCCAAACGACATGCGTTGTTTCAAAAAGGTCTAGTGCCTTTGAATTTCAACCGATTTTGACGTCCTTTTTTTTTTAAATAATTGTTTTGAAATTTGCAAGAGATCCCTCGTGGTCAATTTTTAAAAAAGATTGTTAGGAATTAGTGATACACATAAATATAAGAATTTTTTTATAAAAATAAACTGTGACTGCTGAATAATTGTATATAATATATTTAAATAATTGGTAAACGAGTATATGGGTATTTTGTGTGTGTTCAACGTGACCCATATCAACAACATTATTAGGTAAATTATATAGTTCTACAACATCTTGTGGTAAGTAAATAAATTGATTTTCTATAGCCATTTCTTTTAAATTTTTAAATAGATGCACAGGATCTGGAATCAACTGCAGCGAGACTTCTGGATCGCAAGGGTGTGTCACACTGTACACCATATCTGCCTTTCTAGTTTTAAAACCTAATTCTGTGAGCAATCCTCTGTTTCCCATATCACAAACCAAAATAATTACTTTCAAACCCACTCAAGTGTTTGTTCAGCGAGTCGCCCGAGGCCGTCATTGTCGAGCCGTCATTGTCGAGTTGAAGACGCAGCTTAGTAGTGGAACTGGACTCTCGCAGGACTCCGTGGTGTGGAAGGTAACTGAGCCTCCCCCCCCCTGGTTAATCGGTCCTATCTACGATCTCCATGTGGCCCAACTCCTCGTATTGCAGCAGGAACTCTAGGTAGAGCTGGCGCAGGCGAACATCCTGCTCGAATCTTTTTTCCATGCTGGAGGGGACACGCTGCGCGACTTGGCGCGTGGATGCTAGATACGACAGCGGCTCGACAACGGGGAGTCGCACCACGTATCGGCCCTCTGCGGTGCGTGCGTGCGTTCGGCGGAAAAAGTCCTCGCAATTTTGTTCCGCCGGCGTGAGCGGCGGCGGGGCGGCGGCGGGCGCTTCTTCCTGGAGCCAGAATTTCTGTACTAGTGCGGGCAGATTCTCCTCGGCTCGACATTGAAGCGTCTGAGCGCGCCGAACATCTGCTGTCCGTCCGACAACCCCAGAAAGTATCCACCCTAACTTGGTTTTCTGCGCCACTGGTTCGTAAGGACCCCCTTTTCGAAGGCCGGCCTGAAGGATGGAGGCGTAGACGTCGGCACCCAGGAGGATGTCGATTGAGTCCGCTGCTAAGAACTTTGGATCGGTGAACTCCAGTCCGTTGATGTGAGCCCACGTCCGACGTTCCACTTTAATTCCGCCGTCTTGGAGAGTGAGACGGGGAAGAATTATTGCCGACACCGGCGTCGGCGGTCCGCTTCCTCGAGGCGAGACTAGAAGGTCCACAAGGCCGCGCGCGAAGCCTGTGCGCTTCCCCTCGACTCCGAACACCGCAACCGAGGTCGGCTTAAGGATGAGCCGCAGACGTTGGGCCAGCGACTCTGAGATCAGCGACGAATCGGAGCCCTGGTCTGTGAGCGCGCGAGCGAAGTGGTCGGCGCCCGTTCGGTCCTTTACGCGAACGCGGGCGGTGGCGAGGAGCACTGCCACCGGAATCTCGGGCGGCCGCTGCGCGAGGTGCGCCACTCTCGCGACCTCGGTAGATTTCGCGCCCTTGTCCGCTCGACAGGCGTCGTGCAAGGTCGAGTGATGACGCGCGTTGCAGGACGTGCACGTCCGCTGAGAAGCGCACTCACTTAGCTTGTGCTTGCCGAGGTAGTTGATGCACAAGTGGTGCTTCTCGACATGCTTCTTTCTCTCCTCAGCCGTCTTCGCCTGGTACGCGTCGCAGGATGTAATGATCTCGTCGGCAAAGAGTGCAGCGGCCATACTTATTTTCCTTTTGGCACGCGTGCAACGCGCGGCTTGTCGGGTCGAGGTTTCGCTAGTCTTGGCGGGGCTAGCGTCCGCCTTGCCGGTCTCCGGCTTGATCGGTTGCAAGGACTCGAGGATATGCAGAAGTCGCTCCAGGAACTGGCGCAAGTCGGAATACGACGGCGGTTCCGTCGTCTCGCTTATCGCGTTCTCCCACTCACGGCGCGATTTGGAGTCGAGCAGCTCCACTATCAAGTACACGAACAGGCCCTCGCCCCGTGTGATCGGTCGACCGATACCCTCCAACGAACCGACGGTGTTAAGAACGCAGTGAAACAACTTACGCAGCTCGGGGGCGGACTCGCTCTTAAGCTTCTGCAGGGCCGTAGACTGCGCTATGTATGAGCGCACCAGAAGTTGTTTATTTTCATAGTAGTCGGTTAGGGCCTTCCACGCACGTTCGAAATTCTCGTTAGTGGTGGTTAGACTGCGGATGAGAAGATCGGCCTTTCCCTTCAAGCAGGACTGTAGGTAATGCAGCTTTTCCACCTGTGTAGTGGCGGCATCTTTCCCGATGATCGAGTGAAAGAGATCGCGGAAGGAGGGCCAATCCTCATAACGGCTCGAGAACTGAGGCAGTTGGATGCGCGGGAGTGTCGTGCGAGGCCGATGGGGTGCCGTGACAGGAGCTGCGGGGGGCTCCTCCTTGGCCTTGGCTTTCATGCAGCGAAGGGTCTCCAAGAATACGCCCTTTTGAGTAATGAAGGTCTCTTCTGCGAGAGAGCTTATGTCCTTCTTCAGGTACTCGTGCCCGGCCAGGGCCTCCCAGAAATTGGCAGCGAGCCGGTCATGCTGAGCCTCGAATTTCGCCCAATTGGATTCGAGGGCTTGCAGGCAAGCCTCCGCCAGCCCGATAGTGATGTTAGCGACGCCCTGCTTTTTCAGGTTGTCGTAAGCGCGGGCGATTTTACCGTAGAGGTCAATCTGAGAGCGTATCAATGCTTCTGCCTCCCTAGGGATGAGTTCCTTGGGGGGCTGTTCTTTGGGGGTCTGTTCCTTTCCGTTGCCCTTGCTCATCTTTAGACTTCAGATTGGAGTCCGAGGGCGTGCAGACAGTCACTGCAGCGGTTGCACCCACGCACTGCACTGATGCCGGAGTTTGAAATCCGGCTCGAAGGACCATTAAATGTACGAACGCGGAGTAGACGTGAGGTCGCGCGGAGGCGAACGCTAGCCAGATGGAGTACGGAGAGGAAACTCGTAGAGGTCCTTAAGTGAATAGAAGGCGATTTATACGACACAGTTTATAAAAACAGGCACTTTCACACTATGTACAATCTTCTTTGTTACATTCGCGACGGAGCAAACGTCTGAGCTAGCGGAGTAGTACGGAGTACTGCACGAGCGGACTCGGCTCTCGGAGGCGAATTACGAAAAAACTAGCGACGCGCCCCCTCGCTTCTGCTTTTTATTGACACATGCCCCTCTAGAAGGCTTCCCCCTATTCTTTGTCAAACAACGTGCAAGATTGCCTTATAAGGTGATAATTGTCGGAGCCTTGTAGAAGGACATGGGTTGTCATCGCTCGCATTTGTAAAAAACATGTTTTGCTCGAGCGCGCCGTTTCGCGCTGCTCGAGGAAAAGCAGCCCGTGATTGGGCGCTGGTGACGGCGGCGGGCGCTAAGCGCGACCGTTGCCGCCACGCTCGGGTTTGGCATCACGCGCATATACCGTGATTATTGTCAATTTTGAACATATATATTGTCGCATACATTTATTAATGATAAAGTTTTATCGTACGGACTAAATGTTGTCCATTTTAACGATTAATCAACTAAATAAATGGTAACTCTTAACCTTTTGCAGCACGGTGGCACCGTTGGGTGCCACCTTTTCCATAACCATTTTCTGAGAGACTGAAGTAGTTTTCATTCAATTTTCGAACTTTTTTGTGTTTTGGTATCAGTTATACATTTAAGAATAAAAAAATCGATGTGCAATAATTCAAAATCATAAATGATTTTGTTTATATAAATAAACAAACGTTGAAAAATTGCATTCTTTCTGGAGAAAATTCATTATCTTTGAAAGTTCTAAGAGTTTCTACGCAAAGATCCTCCCTCAAGAGTTTTTGGGGTCGCTGATTACAAATCCGTGATCAGATTTCCAAAATCCAAGATGGCGGATCCAATATGGCGGACCCAAATTCGAAAAACAATGCAAATCTTATATGAAAATATATATCTGTGGGTTTTTGGAGTCGCTGATTACGAATCCGTGATCAGATTCCAAAATTCAAGATGACGGATCCAATATGGCGACTAGAATCCGAAAAACAGTGCTGGTCCAGTGTAAAATCGCTAAACTTCCAAATATACATTGTAACGATCGACCTTTCTCGCTCGGATTAGCTCGCCGGGACAGGTCTCGAGAAAGAAAGGAGACACTGGATTATAAAACAAAAGAACATTTATTTAGGAAAGAGTGGTCTAGAACATAATAAAATTAACACCTGTGGGGAGTTACGAATCCCAAGAACGAATCTTACTCGCGGTAACTTAAGAACTAAGAACGGAACAACGAAACTTAATCCTAGCGCCGGTACAACGAAACTTAATCTAGTATCGGAACAACGAAACTTAACCTAACGGTTTAACCTAGACGCCGGCGGACGGACAGGGGAACGGCTGCTGGTGCGTCGAAGGGAAACGGGGTCAGGAGGGGTCCCGATGTCGGGATACTCAGGGGCGGGATACAGTTTAGTCTGGAACCGAAAAAGCATTGTTAGTAGATTAAACAGAGAACATCTCGGTGTGTACGGCTCTTTGCGGCGGAATTGCCTAGGAGAAGGGACACCTTCTCTGACGGCTGCCCGTATACAAAGAGACGAGGTTCCCCTTGTACCGGACCTAAATCGGGTAGTCCCGGTGGAGAGGGAGCACTCTCCGGATCCCCCAGATAGGCCGAGGCCGATGTCGAGTACTTTCGACGAGGAGAGGAAGGAGTCGGACGGGACTGTCGGGACGGGAGTCGAGACAGGACTGTATAACTCGGCTTGCGCCGGTCGGCCTTTATATACTGGCGAGCGTCTCCCACCACGCGGTATCTGCGTGGGCGACCCTTCCACGCGGCACCCGCGTGGGTGGCCCCCACCGCCAAGCAACGAATTGCAGCGGCGCCGGACCTCAGGGCGCAGGAATCAACGGACGTAGTAACGCGAAACGTTACAACATTTTATAAGATTTGCATCGTTTTTCGAATTCGGATCTGCTATTTTGGATCCGCCATTTTAAATTTCTGAATTTTGACTTTAGATTCGTAATCAGCGACTCCGAGAACAATCAGAAATACATTTTTATGACTTTGCATCGTTTTTCGAATTTGAGTCTGCCATATTTAATTCGCCATCTTGAATTTCGTAAATTTGATTACGGATTCGTAATCGGCGGCCTCGAAAACTCTCACATATATATTTTTATATAAGATTTGTATTGTTTTTCGAATTCGGGTCCGCCATATTGGATCCGCCATCTTGGATTTTGGAAATCTGACCACGGATTCGTAATCAGCGACCTCAAAAACTCCTGAATACCTATTTTCAAGTCAATCGTAGGTAAAGAAAAATGTATGCTTCAAAGAGTTAATAATTAAAAGTACAAAGGTTGGCAATATCTATTTTGAACTTTTTTCAAAATTTAGTCGTTTCCACCGACTAAATTTTATATCAATTTGCTGCCACTCCGACAAAGCTTGTGGATCAAAGTAGGAGTGAATTGAGTAAAGTTTAGTGTGTTTCCATTGACTTAAATTTGATTATACGTCGCATTAGGTGTGAATTAATGCTTCGGTGGAAACTAGACCAATGAGAGTAATATAATGTAGTAAGTCGTAAACACCGTAAGAAATTGACCAATCACAAACGAATATAAGAAGAATAATCGACTATAGGCCTGTTCGTTTTAGTTGATCCTAATTGTCCCGAGTACTGGGTGCTCTTTCTATATTGGAAGAAGAAAGATAAACTCTGAAATAGTGCAGTCAGTTCATACACGGGAAACCCGGTCAGCTAAAACAAACAGACTTTATGATTGGTCAATTTCTAACGGTTTACGACTTACTACTGTAAGAAATTGCCAGTTCGCCTAGTTATTTTCCCCTGCAAAGGTATTTCTTTTTCCAAGTTGGCTATTAGTAGCGCTTCCGTTCCGCGGCGCTAGTTGCTCTCGTGATCGCTTCGCGATTGGCGGACTCATCCCGCGTACGTGCTGCGCCTGCGCGACGAGCCACGTGAGGCCTTGGCGTCCTCTGATTGGCGCATGTGACCCTCTCGCGATAATATCGTTTCCGCTTGGAGACGGTGATTCAGTCTTTAGTCTTTTGTTAACCGGCAAAGATCTCTACCGTTATGCCTCGCAAGTTGAGCGCCTTTTTGTATTACGCGAATAAATCTGTGTTCTGTTAATTACCTGTGTCTCACGAGTGTCTATCCTAGTTACGTTCCTCCAATCTTTCTGACAAATATCTCTACATCCTTTCACGGTAATTAAAATCCGCTAGTAATATCCTTTTACTACATTATATTACTCTCATTGTAAATTGACTTTAAAGCTTCTTTAAAGGGATGCTGGAGTGACCAAATTATTGATTTAACAGTCGTATGAAAATCTCCAAATTGACTAAATTATGTCTTTTGACATGATAAGAAATGTATTTAACTTTTTTTAATTTAGTATAAAGTCTACTGCAGAGCACTTCCTAATTTTTCGTCTACGTTATCTTTTAAAAGAATTCTTTATTCCATTCAGTCAATTTGGAGATTTTTATATGACTGTAAGGTCAAAAACGCACGTTTTATCGGTAATACAGGCAGCTCCAGCATCGCCTTAAGAAGAACAACCAGCATAACTGGATCCGCACTTATACAAACATTTCTTTATGTTGAAATTACAGCTAAAATACTGTATTGATCGCGTTTTAATTGCGATCTTTGTGATCAGGAAAGTCATTTGAAAGCGCTACAGAGCGTTTTTACTGTATATATACTAGAAAATTGCATATATTTGCAGGTGTCCCTAAAGTAACCGATATACGTTCGCAAATGTATGTACATACATACATAGACACATCCCATACATACACACATACATACATACACACATCCCCGAAAGTAACACTGTCCTATACATTTAATATAAATGTGTACAAATAAAAAAGACGCATTTTGTACATCTCAGTGAGTGATTTCGCGTTTATATATACTAAAATAACAATGTGTTAATAAAAGTCCCCAAAAATTACAATTAACACACACACGCACGCATGCACGCACGCACGCACATATTGTGACGTAGTAGCTCCGTTGCCGAGGAACACCGTCACTCCCCCGTCACAAAAGGCGTTTTAAGCGCTCAAGGCCGGACCGGGCAGGAGCAAAGAAGCCGAAATCTCTCGGGGGTCTCGCGTTGCGTTAAGCCGCGTACTTATTCTCGAATTATTTACATGTAATCTACGGCGCCTCACCAAACCTTTCCGGAAGACGAGAGAAAAGGCCGTCGGTAGACCAGCCGGAAAGCGCGACGGGCCTGGGAAATTCGTGGATTGAGAGAAGCGAATTGGCGATTTGGCGAAGCGACGGAGAGGACCGTCGCAGCTATGCCGAGCGCCCCGCGACATATAGAGGCGCAGGATCGGGTCGACTAGCGGCGATCGGGCCTACCGATGAGCGGCGATCGCGGAGAAGCTGCCAGAGGTGGCCTCCGCACATAATTACGGTGCTGCGGATGCCACTGAAACACCGCGGACCGAAGAAATTAACATTCTCACGAAGTCAAAGGCCAAAGGACCTCTCGCAGGATTCGGCTACCCACGGCGTTGCCCGTGCTAAATCATGTGACCGCGATTCATTGGCAGCGCCATCGCGCATCGTTTTCGCGTGCACCCCCCTGAAGGGGGAGCGGCCCATCGATCGCGCTGTCGATCGCGATCCACGCGGATTCTGTTTCCGGACGAGAGCTGAGGTGGACGCTCCCGGAATCTCGTGCGCAGTGTCGGCGTTTCTTTTATCTTTCCCGGCCCG